TAGTGGCATACTTTGAAAATATTTTTAAAAATATAACTCTCCTCCCCCCCCCACACACCTCTTCCCAGCACTCTTCCCTAAAACCAGGAAAAATGGGTCAATTACTTTGCATCATTTCTAAGTCCATTGTGGCTTTTAGGCCCATCCCAAAAGGTCAGTGTGGTCTCTAGTTACCAAAAAAAATGCATTTGAAAAGATAGAGAAAACAAAGAAAGAAATAGAATCTGTTCACATGAAACATTTCACCAGGTTAAAGGAGAAAGTTATGTTCCCATTTTTCTTTTCTGTCTCTTGCAAATATGGTACATGAGAAAATAGATGGATTAGAAGTCCCAACTCTGTCCAAATAGATAAGAATTTGGATTAGATCATGGATTGCTTTATTTTTTAACTGGAGAAAGCAAGGAACTGACAGCTTTCCAGTCTTCTTTGATGCAATTAGATGGACTTAAAAAGGCTGCTCCCAGATTGCCTAGACTTATGCAACCTTCAATAAAGTCATTTATTATTCTGCTATCCCACAACAAATGGCCCTGCAATGGCCAGTAAAGCTCCACCCCAAACTTTCCCAAAGGAGCCACCCACAGTCAGTGCAACACATTCCCACAAAAGCCAATAGTCATCAGAGCTGATTCACAAGGCAAGAAAGACATCCGTAGTTCAAAACCAAGATGCAAACAAAGCAAGGTCCATAAGTCATAAACAAGGTTCAAAGTCCATAAGACAAGGTCCGTAGTCCACAAGCAAGATTTAAAATCACAAGGCAGAAACACAATCCAAAGCAGAGTCTACAAAGGCTGGGGAAGCGCATGGCAAAGCAAAACAAATGTTCCCAACAAAGACACTCTCCCCTGGCCTCTGATTGAATCAGCTCAAGCCAGTTGTTCCTCATGAGGAGGGATGGGGTGACCTTCTCGCCAGCAGCCTCACAAACCTCCTTTGAGCTTCCCTCCACTCCACCCTCTGGGCCCTTAGATCAAATGGGTGAGGCAGCTGTTCCTCAACAGAGGGAATATGCTGCCTTTCATCCGCACTGCCTGTCTGCAGCTGATCCTCCCCTGTTTGTGAGGGCAGCACCTCCCCCAATGCTGGAGCTGGGGACTGGGACAACATCATCCTCAGCCCCTGGAGTCTCCAGACATTCCAGGGGAAATGTACCATCCCCGTCAACTGGTCCCTATTCCAACTCCTCCTCCTCCTCTGAACCGGAATTCAATGTAGCCATGACAGTGCCCCTCTGACTAGAAAATACACTGCTGCTGCCCACAGGTACCTTGGGGTATATTTACTTAGCCAAAGAAGCAGTGTAATAAATTTATCTTAGCATTAGTTTGGAAAATAGAAGCGCTAAAGCTCTTGTGATGCCCTCTCCCTTTTTAGCCAGAAAAAGCAGCAGCTGCAGTTGCCTTTAATCTGCCAGTCAAATCCCAAAATAAAGATACAAAGATAAAACATAATCTTCTCAAGAGAAATCTTTTACCACAACCAAAACCTCTCCTTTAAAAAATCACATCTAGAAGATCTACGTACATATGTAAGATGTTTGAGCCCCACAAGGCAAAGTGCAATCTTTCTCTCCGGACTTCCTGTCCTATGGACATGAGAAGTCTGGAGAGAAAGATCATTCTTTGCCTTGCCTCATCACAAATGTACACATCTAAAGTGCCTCACATCAAAGCCTATCACTACATGATCAAAGTCCGTATTACTACAAGTACTTCGATTCTTAGCTTTCTTAGGCAGGACAAGAAGCAATGGATGGAAATTAATCAAGAAGAGAAGCAACCTAGAACGAGGAAGAAATTTCCTGACAATTAGAACAATTAATCAGTGGAACAATTTGTGAATGCTCCAACACTGGAAGTTTGTAAAAAGAGATTGGACGACCATTTGTCTGGAATGGTATAGGGCAGGGGTAGGCAATCTTGACTCTTTTATGACTCGTGTTTCATATTAAGGTTTGACAGCGTTGCATTGTGCAGTACTGGTTCATAATGCCATAGTACATGAACTACAGGGGCAGCAGTCACCTCATACTCCTGAAGTCCAGGAATTAAGGTTGAAAAGCAAGAATCTGGCTCAGGAATTCTAGGAGTTGAAGTCCACAAGTCATAAAAGAGCCAAGGTTGGTTACCCCTGGTATAGGGTTTCCAAACTCTGTATAACCCTTCGCTCGTTATACTCCTTGTTACGCAGTAGAATAAACTACCCTCCGCTTCAAACAGCTGCCCAGTGTGTTTATTTACCTGGTCACAATTGGACCAAACAAAATTCTTCTATTAATTGTTATCTTGTTGTTAACCAAGAAACTGAAGGTTCTCTTTGGCTGTTGTAGCACATGCTAGCAATATTTCAGCTATACCTATAACTATAATTTTATCACCTTTGATGGACTTCTGATAAAGCAAATAAATATTGGGCCCAGGTTCATGTTATAGTGCAGAAGATTCTTAAAACTAAGAAAATCTGAAAATTTTCTTTTAGGATTACTCTATAAGGAATTGTAAAAAAGATTTGTTCTGGCAGTGATCAATGCTTCCTTGCAGGAGGGATGATGCCCCAGCCTTTTAAGGAGACTGTATTCTGCCCTCTTTTTAAGAGAGGATTCCACTCTATTAGTTAATATTTGTCCTCTCTAAACTTCCCTTCCTGGGGAACATTGTTGAGAAGGTGGTTGCACTAGAGCTCCAAAGTTCCTGAATGAAATAGATTATCTTGACCCTTCCATGTGAGAGTCAGGTGTGGATATGGCTCAGAAATGGCATTGATCTTTTTGATGATCTATGATAGGAGGGGGATAGAGGTGCATGTGTCCATCCACATTATCAACAATTTGATACCATCAACCACAGTATTCTTCTGGAGCAGCTTTGGGGGTTGGATTGGAGGCAGTGTTGACCTAGTTCACTTCCTTTTTCTATGGCTGATTTCAGTCAGTGTTGATAAGCAAGAGGTCCAGCCCTTGCCCCTGCTTTGTGGGAATCTTACAGGGTTCATCACTTTCTCCACTTCTGTTTAACATCTACATGAAGCCACTGGGTGAGATTTTCTACCATAGGTTGAGATATCAATATATTTACGAACAGGACTTTTTTTGTCATAGAATGCCCAGAACAGAGTTCCGGCACCTTTTTTGGATGGAACCTTGTAGGGTAGGCAAGGCGGGTTGTATGACGTGGGTGAGTTCCGGCACCTTTTTGGGTTTTTTTTTACAAAAAAAGGACTACTTACGAACATCCAGCTATAAGTCTATGGTGAATTAAGCCATGCCACGACCTCTTTTCACAGTGCCTGGAGGCTGTTAAGGATTGGATAGAGAGCAAGAGGCTGAAACTGAAACTTGGTAAAATGGAAAGGCTCTAGGTTTGGAGCGCTTTGTTCCATGGAGGATTGCACTGTCCCAAAGAGACCCAGTGTGTAATCTGGGAGCATGTGGCAGTCATTGTTGTGGTTTGTCAGCTGCCAGCTGAGCTAGCAGTCGAGTCAGAGGAGGAGGAGGAGGGAAAGGGGAAGGGGAAGCTCTGATGCCTTTGAAAAGCTCCAATGTGCAGGAAGACTCAGAGCCAGATGCAGAGCTGGGGCCAATTGTCCACGCTCAGGCAGAGAGGCAGTTGTTTTCGGGACCTGAGCTGAGGAGGAACAGATGGGGCCCATCCCAGATGCGCGTCAGAGAGGAGAGCAACTGAGGGTTATAGACTGGCTCTTAGAGAAAAGAAAAAGACATTAGCCAGCTCCTCCTTGGCAGGAACATAAATAAGAGAGGTTTGGAAAGGCTGGTTGTTACAGACAACCGTTCATATTACTGGATACTTCAATCAATCAGATTTCTTTGCCAAGACCCAGGTTTGCCAGGAGTATTTGTTTGTGTTTGAAGTGCTAATTGAGTCTCCCTGCTGGGAACTAATAGCCCGTGTGAGCTGTGACTATTACTTTTTTCAGTTAAAGACTTTTTAACTAGAGTTCTCCCTGGAATATAGTTTGTCCTGACTTGTTAATAAAAGGAGTTTCTACTCACAATTAAGCAGTTGATCATTACTTGTGAAGGCTGGGTCAGAACAGTCATGGCCGGAAAGGCCTTTGCGCTGTAGATTGTGTGTCAATTACACCCTTTCCTGGACCAACAATCCCTGTTCACAGTCACCCATGCCTCCCACCTTGATAACTGCAATGGGGTCTATATGGTGCTACCCTTGAAAAGTATCTGGAAACTTCAATTGGTTCTAAAGGTAACAAGTATAGATTTGCATGTCACCTTTCTTGTGGTATATGCATTGACTGCCAATTTTCTTCTTGGTCCCATTCAAAGTGCTGGTTATCATCTTTAAAGCCCTATATAGCTTGGGGCCAAGTTTTTTGAAGGGTGTCGTTTTCTAATTATATCTGGCCAACCCACCAGAGCAGGAGGCAGGACTTTTATGGGTCCTCTCTCTTAAGGGCCTTCTCTTTGGTGGTTCCCTCCCAGTGGAACATCATCCCTGGGGAAATAAGATTGGCTCTACTTTGTCACTCTTTCAAAAGGCCCCAAAGACATGCCAATGGTCCTGGGAACTCCAAATAACAAAGCCAATCAAGAGATTTGTTTGACTGTTGTCATCTGAGGGGAGGAGTATTGGTTTTCGTATTGGGTTTTAATTATGCAAGCCATCCAAGTGTCACTATGGGTTGGGAGGACATATACATTTTCTAAATAAATAAATAAAATCTTCAACAAGGCCCTTACTGCTTTATGGGAAAAAATAATCCCATTACATGACCTAAAATATATTATGCAAATTTAAAAACTTTGGATTCATCATGTTTTAAAATTGTCCTTATACACATGTTGGGCAACATTAAGTTGCCCAACTTAATCTCATCTACGAATCTCATCTACGAATCTCATTGTTATATTTCTTACTGCAACTGCACTAAGGAAAACCAATGCCAGAAGTTTTAACTCTTACAGAAGTATTAGTATCAGTCAAAATATAAGACACCACTTATATTGATTAAAATGTTTATTTCAAAAGATATATTTGTAGCTCTAAATATCAAATATAAATTTCCCTATTATTTGTCTACAAGACATACTTGATCAAACAATATGATCTGATTAATTATGGAAAATTTATGATTCAGGGTAGTGATTCAAGAACAGTATGTACAGAATTTTAAAAAAGCAATGCAATTCTGAAAGTAGTTACTACAATGAAACATTTTAATATGTTTTACATTTTTTTATATATTAACATCCAGCTACCTACTATACCTATAAGGTAAAATAATATAATGCAATTAATTTTTTGCAAAGCCCTGAGACATACATCTATTGATTCAAAATGAGAGAATCAGAGTCAGTGTAGAAGAATCCTACTCCGATCAAACATCAGTTCAGTTTTCTGTCATTAGCCAAATGTCTTTGTGAGTATCATAAACTAGGGATATGTGACTTCTATCAATTTGAGGATCACACCACACTTAATGCGGTGTATTGACCACTCTCCAGAGTCAGAATAGATGGATTTCATACTGTTTCAGGGTTTTTAAATGGTGAAGTAGTTTGCCTTTTAGAAACAAAAGAACTGAAATCTTTGGAACCAGAGTCACAAAAATCAGTTTTTGAACTCCTGTCATAAGCAAATATGTATACAACAACTTTTAAAACAACCAGTATTTCAAATCATACTGCCTCTTGACATTCATATTCCTTTTCAATTCCTCTTGAGCATGATAGAATATTAGAATATAACAGGTAGTCCTAATTTATTTGATCCTTAGAATTTTTTTTACAAATGACAAAAAGTATATATATATATCATGCAATCAGCATCATTTTGATCAAATGCAGTTCATTTTTAGAGACTCTAATTGAATCTGTCATACTATTGCTTATTTATTCTAACTGAATTCTTTTGATATTTTTGTTACAAACATTTATAATTGTATGTAATCAGGAAGTATTAATTTGAAAGAATTAATTAATTTGAAAAAGAATGAACACAAGCCAGCATTATTTTTCTGAATCTCCATAAATTATTGCTGTGACCAATGAAATCACCATATAGACAATGTTTCTTTATAAATCATTTTGAAGTGTTTCACAAAAACAATTTAACAATTATGTTAATAACTTTTAAAAACTTAACAGAATTCTACACAGAATTCCCCACTGTAAAAGGTTTAAATTATTAGAAACTTTAATACATTTAATTAACTATACCTACTGAAAATAACCATAATTACATAAAAAGAAAAAGCTAAAATATAAATGACTATTATTAGTAATTTTTAGTATTCTTAATACCTATATTCTATATCATAAGCCACAGCAAAAATGTCTGCTCTTGTTATATGTTATTCTTAATATTTGCTATACCCTGATGCGAAGTCAAGGTAATCCAATAAAGTCTAATAAACAGTACAGTACACTGAACAGAAATTACTTTTGGGTAGAAATATGAAGGACTGTAACTGTCAGTTTTGTTCTTGATTTCTTAAGTTGCTTAATGGAATAATTCAAACTGTTACAGAATGCTTGGTATAAAATAGTCTCATCTGTGAAGAAGAATTGTTATTAACCCACTATATAATAGTGAACAAAATATTCTTGTTTCATAGAAACAACAAACATTTGCCTCCACTGGACAAATGGTCTATTTACATTTACATGGGGGCTGCCTAACTGACAGCGAGTATGGGTCATCTTACTCATGGAGCTTAATAGACTGATGATCTCTGCTGACTTGTCTTCCCTTTTAAGATTCGTCTTATCTGAGAAAGAGGAAATAGAAGGGAAAAAGACCAATTATTCAACAGCAGTTATTACAACATTATTTAAGCCTGACTGTATGCAGTATGCAGTGCGTTTATAACTACAATAATTAGCAACATAAATTCTGATCCCATTTGATATTATAACTGGAGGACTAACTGCATAAGCACAATCATGGTTTCACTTAGCAACCTCTTAGCTTCATGACCTAAATGCCAGTCCCAATTGTGGTTGCTAAACAAGGACCACACTGTATTGTATTAACTTGAAGATAACAGACTGTTTATTGAATTGCACACTGAATGGCTTCTGTGAGACATCAGATCTTAATTCCCAAGAGAACTCTCCACGAAGAATAGAAAGGATTGACGTACATATGTCACTATAATGTATACTTTTCATGTGCATGATGACGACCATCTATTTCCTTTTTTTAAGTTACTGAAACTAAAATAAATTGATTTATACAGGCTCTGTAATTTGAAAAAACTTTCCCCTATGGATGCAAACTAGCCATTTAATGAAATAAACTAAAGAAATTCTATAATTATAAAGGAAACATATGTTTCTAAAAGAAACATACGTTTGCAAAGCACTTTAGATTTCAAGACCTGAAAAACAATGTTTCTATTTTTATAAAAAATATTAATAAACTTAACGTAAGGGATGTCTCCCTACTTTTGTAGTTTCATTTCATTCCAGAAGAAAGCAAAATAAGTCATCAAAGTTTATGACAAAGATATATTTTTTAAAAAAAACAATCTAGGTATACATCTCTTCATTCTATAACAGGACTAGAATATTATAGGCAGAAAGAAAAAAGCATGAAGCATGATATTTACTTCACACAAAAACAAGATTTCAGATATCTTTTATCTCTTACCTCAACTCCAACAGGGCTATCAGGAACCAAGTGAACTGGCTGCTCATTTTCCAAATTCCTGGCACTTGGATCAGCACCTTTGCGCATCAACAAACGAACTGCATCCAGCTGAGTCATTCGATGCTGCAAACTAGCAGCTACATGGAGTGCAGTATTGCCATTGTAAGCCTAGTTACAAGAGAGAAAAATCGTTGTTTAAAAGGAGATAAGAAGCAGAAGGATTATTTCTGCAAATAGGAATACCCTAAAAGAGACACATGGTTTGTTATTTATATACCTTGGCATTGATAAAAGACAGACAATTTGGGAGCTCTAAAAACAGTCGAAGGAGTTCCACATTTGCTTCTTCAGCTGCTAGGTGAAGGGCTGAACGGCCACTTTTACGGTCCTGTCCATACACAAAAAAAAATGTCCAAATATTACATACTGCACATTTAGTCACTGTAAAATTAAGAACACATACAATTAGTCGCTGTAAATGAAAACATAAAATACACTTTGAGGAACAGTTTCTTGGTTTTCTTAAATAGTGGCATTATCTTTGAAACGTTACAGACTGAAGATGAGCCTAATGATTAAACTAGATCAGAGCTTTTCAACCAGTGGTACGGGTACCACCTGTGGTACATTGGCACCTGGCAGGTGGTACGCAACCATCCTAGAAAAGTGGTAGCGGGGGAGGGGAATGAGAGTGCTGCTGGGCGGGCGTTCAGGCAGGTGCCTTGCTCGGCTGTGCTTTGGGGGGCACTTTTTTCAGTGCCATTGTAACTTCGAACAGTCACTAAGCGAACTGTTGTAAGTTGAGGACTACCTGTACTTTATCACTTTTTTCCTTTTTTGGGGGGTCATCAAGTTTTTGACACCTTGCTAGACGACTGGTGGTACTCGGATATTGCCATATCCTAAAAGTGGTACAATGGGTGAAAAGGTTGAAAAGCCCTGAACTAGATGAGCCCTGATGGCGCAGTGGTTAGAATGCTGTATTGCAGGCTAATTCTGCTCACTGCCAGGAGTGGGATCCTGACCGGCCCAAGGTTGACTCAGCCTCCCATTCTTCCAAGGTCAGTAAAATGAGGGCCCAAGATTGTTGGGGGCAATATGCTAACTCTGTAAACCTCTTAAGAGAGTTCTGTAAAGCACTGTGAAGCAGTATATAAATCTAAGAGCTATTGTCTAAGTGCTAGATAAGAAATTATATTCTTAAGTTAAGGAGTTAGGAGGGTTTTTTTCTGATCATTCATTATTTGTTTCAGAAATAGAGACAAATATTTATATGTAAAATGTGATACCTACAATATTAACCAACCATTAATTCATTCATATGCTTTGCTTATTATTCAGTATTGCTCCATTACAATAGTAATCTGATTTATGCATACTAATTAAAGTGAGAGTTTTTTTCTTTTTACATGCTAATGTGCTAGAGGAGAAAAAGCAAACTGGAATTTAAAAATTAGTGTATTTATTTCAATAATGTAAAAATATAAACTATCCTTTAAGCTTAATACTGATCATTTTATATGCAACAATATACATTTAAAAACCTACAGAATATCTATCCAGGAACATAAAAGATCATACTGAACTCTCAAGTATAGAGAGTTAAGTTAATATTCTTTGCCTATGAATGTATCACATGGCACATATTTTTCAACTTCTATGTCTTCAAACAGATGCAAAACAATAGTATATGAATCATTTCTCAAGTAAACATCTAAGTCTATTCTAATGTTTCCTTATGTGACTTACTCTGGCTTCAACAGAGGCCCCCATCTGAATTAGATATTTGATTGTATCTGCCAGCTTCTTGCTTTTCAACCTTAATTCCTGGACTTCAGGAGTATGAGGTGACTGCTGCCCCTGTAGTTCATGTACTACGGCATTATGAACCACTACTGCACAGTGCAACGCTGTCAAACCTTAATATGAAACATTATCAGTTAGCAAAACAAAACCCCAGGTCACCTTGTTCTGATCAATAATGTATTAAAAATAGTCATTCCAATAGAATATCTAGATTTTTTTCATTTTATTTGCAATGCATAACTTTAAAGGAATTTTAATCTATGCTCTAGTTAGTGACATGCAACTTGGATACTCTCCAGATATGTAAACTTCAATTCCCAAAATACAGGTCTCTTCTACAGTTATTATTTAGCCAGCTTATCTAAGTTAATGTAGCAATATCAACCTAGCATTATTAAGCTCAATTAATTAACAATGCATTAGACAAGGACCCTTGGTAGAAGACATTTAGTGTGGGATTATATTTGAAGCCATTTCTATAATTTATTTTATTTAAAAATGGAATGTCATTAGGAGTAAACATGTGTGTTATACAACATGCCAAGTACAAGTCCTGAGCATCAGCACTGAAATCTGAACATTTTTAATTGGGTAGTTTACCCACTTAACACAAAATGTAGGAGTATTAGTTGCTCACCCTCATAATTCGTTCCCTCCAAATCAACATACTGATTGCTTACAATGGCTCCTTTCTGGATTGCCTGAAAATGAAATGAGAATCTACATTAACTATATGCAACAGTAACTGAAATCTGAAAGCATGAGATCAAATTTATATAATTCAGAAAAGTTTATGCCATTACAAAGATGTCAGTATTTGTATAACAATTTGTTTAAAAAACAGCACTTTCAAACTAGACAGTTTCTGTTTGTGGTCCATTGTTCTTCAGAATTACAATTCACAGGTACAAAAAACCTGACCATCACTTGAAAAATTATAAAATAACCAAATGTCTCCTGAGAATTGCAGAGATAATTTCTGCAATGTTCTTGTTTGCTGGTTTTTTATTGTATGTAGTGGGAAGAAGGTATGAAATGGCGAACAGAATTACTTTATAGGAGCCACACTGCATTATCATTCAGTCTGACCGATTGAATGATAATGTAGTGTGGCTCCCATAAATTAATTCTGTTCTCCATTTCCTTTTGCAGGCAAGGAAGAAAATGCAAAATTTCTCGTGTTTAACATGGGGCTGGAAAAGTTATACATCGTATTATAACACATTACAGACTTCCAGCTCCTGAGCAATTAGAGTCAAACTGGGCAGTAAAGTTCAGTTAAAACTATACTTCTAAATAATGTAAATAACCTTAATGGAAAGTATACTATATTGAATCCTTAATGTATAATTATAGGTGTTGAGATGTATTATTACATATGCTAATAAAGAGAAAAAAGTTAATACAAGTAAATACAACTTATAATTCAGATGCCCCACCTGAAGGACTTGTGCATGACCCTTCTCAGCACACACATGCAGTGGAGTTCTACCCCAACAATCTGTAGTATTCACTTGTGCCCCAAGACTAACCAGATCCTGGACAATAAGGTGTTGATTTGCAGCCACAGCTACTTGCAGGGCACTCTAGAATAACAAAAAGCAGATGTATTAGACACTGTAATCTTAACAAAGAATGGCAATTAAGAACACAAACCACATAAAAGCCATTTCAATGAAGTAAAACCATTTCAGAGAACACCTCCTTAATGAAATCAACTTGGTCTGAACAGTTTATCAAATAATTCTGTTACATATAGATTGCACTGTAAGTTTCCAATTTAACATTAAAAGGGCAGGCTATATAAGGTTTGATAAGAAAATAGAGGAAATAATCATGGGCATAGGGTGGGAATTTGCTATGTTAAGATAATCACCTGGCCATTGTGTTCTTTAATATCCAGCATATGCAGGGCTGTCATCTTTCTTGCCAGCACATAGGAAACTGCCCGTCGTCCCTGGGCAACTGCAATGTGGAGAAATCTGTGGGGGGAGGGGAATAGAAATTAACACAATAAGATGTTTTAAAAATATGCTACACTCTAAAAAGCCATTGAGAAAAGCCCTAGGGAACTTGCTGATAGCAAAGACCTATTAAGGTAGTATTATCATCCAGTGGATTATTTCTTTTTATCATTTTTAGGTATGGTGCCAGATATAACAGAATAACACCATTGGAAGGAACCTTAGAGGTCTTCTAGTCCAACCCCCTTGCTCAACAAGAGATCCTATATCATTTCAGACAAATGGTTGTCCAATCTCTTCTTAAAAACCACCAGTGAGGGAGGACCCACAACTTCTGAAGGCAAGCTGTTCCACTAATTACGTTGTCAGGAAATTACTCCTTATTTCTAAGTTGGTTCTCTCTCTTTGCTTCTTGTGCTGCCTTCATGTGCTTTACAGAAAAGGTTGACCCCCTTTTTTTTGTGGCAGCCCCTTAGATATTGGTGCACTATCACTATCATGTCGCCCTTAGTCCTTCCTTTCATTAACCTAAACATACCCAATTCTTGCAACTGTTCTTCATGTTTTAGCCTCCAGACTCCTAATCATCTTTGTTGCTCTTCTCTGCAGATGTCAGTACCATTAATGTACTACAGAGCTTTTTGTTCATTCAAATGAATGGCAGCCTAAAGGCATCTAAACAAATAATGCTGATTCACCATTTCCACTTCTGCAGTAAGTAATATTTGGACAATACTCACGTGTCACCATCAGAATCTTTAGCAAGAATCTGGTCTTGAGAAATGTTGGCCATTTTGTTTTCTTCCTGTTCCACTTGCCACTGGAAAAATGATTTGCCCAACTGAGTTGTGCTGCTTGTACTGCCCTGAAGTTGCAGAGATATATCTGAAGAGGACAGAGATAAACCATGTTCCTCAAGACCCCTGGATGTGTTATCTGAGACCTGGCTGAAATGCTGAGAGCAGCTACTGATTTCAGTTTGCTGGAGGCCACTAGGAATTGCTTGAGGGAATGGAGCAGGGATGTTGTCTGATCCTTCCGAGTCATTTAAAAGAGAAGCAAAACTTTCTGTGGTACAATATGGCACTTCTTGGCTGTCAAAAATATTTTGTTGATATTCAGAAGAATGGCTGCCTGCAGAGTGAGGCCTGTATTCCAGCAATGGAATACAATGCTGGGACATATCCTGTTGTTGTTGTGTAGGAGAAAACTGATAATTCTGGGACAGGTCCAGCATTGGAGAAGAGCTGTTTGTTTGGAAAGCTTGGTACTTTTGAACAGGTGAAAAAGCTTGTGCCCCAGTCATCTCTTGGTATTGGTGTTCCCCTGGAGAGTTGGGATTGACCATGCTGTGAAGCCAGCTAACTTGTACAGTGTTCAAAGACACTGGACTGGATTCATTCTTAATATTGATAATATTCTGCAGCATATCACAGCTGCTGTCTTGCTTAGGCTCATTATTATGGGGATCCTCCATATTATTATCCATGGAAGTTGGTGTCTGTGGAGGTGTCTGAAAGATAAGGGGTATAGATTTTTAACTGGTCTAATTGCATCTTGCCTTAGAAGGCAGTTGGAAGCTGTATAGTAACGTGAGAATGAGTATAAAAAACTCCATTAAAAATACTTACCAAGAGGTGAGGTTGCAAAGTAACTGTTCGTTTGTAATATACTCCATCAGAAAGACAGTCCGAAGCTTTTCTTTTCCGATTATAAGTCAATATATTTTTTAGTTCTGCTGAAAAATAAGCAGATTTCATAAGCCTATGACACAGCCCATTTTTCTAATACTCAAAGACAAATTGAAGGAACAAATGAGAGAAAAACTGTACCTGTATATGGATCATGTTTCATGAATGTTCCTTGTGCCTATTTAAAAAAAATGAAAATATTTTTATATAATGTAAGTACTCTATTTTACCACGAGAATATTTACAGAAATATTAGTATAATTATGAACTTTTAATATTTTTTCAGAAAAAGCAAAACTTTTAATTATAGCTTTTCCAATAATTATATTCTACTACCTTCAAACATTTTTCTTATTCTATTTATTTCAATCAAAAGAGATTAAAACTTCTGAATATCAAAAAAGAGTAAAAATGTAAACTAAGAGTCCATGCATTTCAGTATTATATAAAAGCATAAACAGGAGAACTAGGTTAGAAAGTTTGCATTTGCAGATCAGATATCTTACAAAACGTTCTTAATAATCGCTCGGCTACATACAATTTTTCAGATCCATGTTAATTTCATCTAATGAACTGAAAAAATTTCCATATAAAATTGAGGTGTGTAAACAATGAATGTAATTAAACTGCCTCTATTTAAACCTATAGCTACCACTTTTCAAATTAATGGAAAGATAATAAATGAATATAATTAAATATTTTGCACAATTCACCAATTCTAAAACTTGAAGCAGTGCCCAATATGGTGCATCTGTAGAATTAATAATACAAAGAAAATGCTTTGGATAACAGAGCTCCCTGGAGGCTGAAAACGTTTTGTTATAGAAGGCTAAGACACAGCTAAGAAGATACTTGTTACTTCCTTTTAACTCTATTGTTATATTGTTCAAAATTTCTGGTCTTTCTATGGACAAAAGAGCATATCTATGCAGAAAAAAGAAAACTTTGAATAGGAAATTTCAAAACATCCTAATAAAGTTTGAACTATTCAATGCCACAAAATGCTGAACAATTGTAGGGAAGAATAGAAAGAGCTGAAAGAAGAATCTGTTTGGAACCTGGTGTAAGATTATTGTGCCACCTGTTCTAAACTAAATTAAAACTCCCACGTTTAGGCAAAATAAGGAATGGGTGATATTTATGAACATTAAAAAATACCAATAAAAAATATTGAATTAGACAGAAATCTGCTCACTAGAACCTTCAGATAAAGTGACATGAGCAAATGCATGCTCTGCATTTTCCCATTTAAAAAATGGTCCATTTTTGGGTATAATTTGCAATTCTCATTCACTGACAAAGTATTTTTATTTTTTTAAAAAAAAAAAATTGTTTTTAAAGGCCATACAAACTATTATATTTCACTATAATGAAGATGTTCATTAACTTCTACACAAAATTGCTGCAAATGTATTCACAAATAAAATACTTGTTTTGATTCTGAACAGCACTTATGAAAATATACAACACAGACCTTTAATTCCTCAGTTCCATGATCTGTGGACATCTGCTTGCTATTTCTAAGATGCAACAACAATTCTTTCACAGAATTTTTTACCCGAACACCTTGGAAAGGTCCTCTTTGTTGCTTTCCTCCCCCCATATGTTGCTCAGCTGTTAAGACACAAAATTAAAATAAAAGCATGACACAGACGATTTAAAAGAAAAGTAGATTTCATATAAATTTATTCTAAACAAGAAATTAATTACTTGGTTAATATTTCAATTAGATTTTCCCCCTAAAATGCATCAATTATCTTTCTCCCAAATCCAGGTATTCTAAAATTTTGGGTTGTGATTGATTATCAAAGGTTTTATGAGCAACTTAGACAATCCATCTTTCCCTCAAAGTTTTTCAGGCTTCTGCAGGCAAGGCAGGAATGTCAAAATTCATACCACTCTGCCTGGGAAAGCTTTCAGTGGGCTTATACAAGCCACACAGGAAGAAAATTTAGTAGTATTGCAAAGATGGAAAAATCAGAAAGCCATGAGTTCTAGTTCTGTCTTAAGCAAAAAGCTAGCAAGGTGCTCTTGGGCCAGTCTCTTTTTCTCAGCCCTAGTAAGAAAGCAATAGTAAACCACTTTTGAAAAATCTTGCATGAAAATGGCAGGAATTTAATCAGGCAGTCTCCAAGAAAAAGACACAATTGAATAGAAAGGAAAAAAAAGATGGAGAACCCCTACCTAATATTTTAATAAGAATGGGAATTCCTATTCAAAAACATTAAGCATTAAAATGACTTTGAATAAATAATGTTCAATGTTACTTGCATAAATCCCCTCCATAGTTAAACCGCTTGTCAAAAATATAATCTTCCATAAGATTAGCTGCAAATATTTTATTCTCCCTCTTAATGTCATCAACCCTTTAAACACAATGTATTTTGAAGTATAAAAAACAGAAGTGAAAAGAGGAACAATAATGCCCATCAACCCAAGAGAGAAGTGATCTAATTTTAAAAAGTACAAATCAGATTTTCTACATAATCTACCTATTTAATTTTTTTAAAAAAACTAAATTCCCAAAGATTTGAAATTTCTGGATAGGAAAAGCAACCCCGTCTTAAGAATAATTTCCCCTTTAGAAGTTTTAATAGAATTTTCCCATCCCATCAAAAGAAAACAGAAGTATCTGAACATATCTTTGAGGATTCAGTTTCAGAACAGAAAGAAAAAAAAAGCAAGAATCAAAGCAGATGAAATACTTCAGTCAATAAGATTTCACAAGGCAAACATCATAAAAATATAAGGTAATATGAAATATAATATCAAACGACAATGGCAGCAGCATAAATGTATAAAAGTTAATTGGTGAAGGAATTCAAAATAATATATCTTTGTAAAGATATACCAGGTACACTAGCTTTAATAAACTCTTGTACAAAAGATTAAAAATCATGGCATTGAAAGTCTACAAAATTTCACCATTTCCTAAATATTTTAAAAGAATAGCTGAAAAGGAAAGCTTTGGCCAAGACACTGTAGAATCAGATTTCATTTGTCATTGTACAAATTAACCATAAATGTTTTCAGTTGCATACTACAATTTATATCATGAGCATAAAAATTAGAAGTAACATCAGCAACAGAATATCCTAATTTGAAGTTTTAGTCTTGAAGTAGGAAAGCTAGCATTGTTTAAATAGCTATCTATGTCTCTATATAACTGAAATGTTATCAAGTTAAAACAAAACTTTCACTTTTCACAAAGTAGGTTGTATCCCAAGGTCAGAATATTCTTTATTTTTTTCTAACTGTACTGTTAATTGTATGAAAGTTATAGTCTCTCTTTCATTGTAAAATGCCAATCAACTTTTTTTTTTTTTTAAAAGCATATCTTATTTGCTTGCTTCTTATGGTTTCAACAGTAAAAAATTATCAAGATATGCTGAAACTAATATAGGTAAGAATATTGCAAACTATTTTCAGCAAACATAAATCAATAAACAATTTACAGAAAATTAATTCACTGCAGAGCACTGTACTCAATAAGTTGTTTTCCATTTTCAATGTAATGATATATTGAGATGCTATCCAATACCAGGTAATGTATATCTGAAATTGCTGGTAAATTTAAATCCACAAATTTAGCTCAATATCAACACATTTTTTTAAATTTTCTCTTTACAACAGACACCATCTGCCAACTCTTACAGCAGCCATGAATGTCATACAGTCCGGGAAGGAGACAAGAGTCAATTCCATAACTTTAAAAAGACCTTTCACAAATGGTTCAGTGAAAGAAGTCAAGCCATTTTAGAGGCTAAAGTTAGTTTTGGAATGCACTTACTACACACGAATCCAAAGCCATTATTGTGCATAGCGTTATCTATTACACAACTACTTTAAGTATTTTAATACTTAAAAATTAAATAATTGAATAATGTGCCAGAGGTTAATCTAGGTTTTCTAACATGGTCATACCCAGTAAAATACATGATCCGACTTATAGTGTTAGAGAGACTTGTAGGCAAAACGTTATGCAAAGCAGCCTTACTCCCCTGAAATATAGGTAGCTGTGCCATGGACAGGAGAAACAGCAACTTTTAGAGGGGCAGCACCAATAAACCAAAAACATCCTTCATTCTGGACATCCCACTAAATAGCTTATCCAGGGCCACTCTTTTGAATAGCTTATAAAAGATGCTTGTGGCATGATAATCAAGGACATTAGATATATTTTCCGCCGGAAGTACGAACAATTAACCAGTGGAACAACCTGCCTCCAGAAGCGGTGAATGCTCCAACACTGGAAGTTTTTAAGAAGAGACTGGACAGCCATTTGTCCGAAATGGTATAGGGTTTCCTGCCTGAGCAGGGGGTTGGACTAGATGACCTCCAAGGTCCCTTCCAACTTTACTATTATTATTATTAACCTGGACCGACATACCGATTTACCCCAAATTCTTCATTCTTGGAGGTCATTCAGATTATCAGCACAAGCGTTTGGTATATATATATTTAAGGGGTTAGGGAAGGCCGTTTTATATAATGTTTTGCCACCTTTGTCGTGGTGGGTGTATGCACACGTCTGCATCCATATATATATATATATGGATGCAGACGTGTGCATACACCCACGACAAAGGTGGCAAAACATTATATAAAACGGCCTTCCCTAACCCCTTAAATGCATTGCACTACAACTCCCATGACCCCCAATTCCATTAGGAGCTATATAGTCCAACGTAACTGAAAGGCCACCGAGATTTCTCGAGAGCCGTCCATCTTTTCAACCAGACCGGAAAAACTTATGAGGACGAGTCTAGCCCAGCCGGTGCAGCGGGCATCGCTTTTGGGGGGGGACCCGGAGTAAAACTCCTTCCACCCAAAACTTATTTCGGAGGCTACGGCGAACGGCCCGCCGGCTGCGTCTGTACCTTCTCCAGTCGGGCGCGCGGCATTCCGGGAATAGCGCCTCTTCCTCAAATAGTTGCTGCCGGTGGCGCCATTGGCCGAGGACTCCGAGTCAGAGCTGGGGGATCCCGGAGCGGAGGGAGTGGGGGAGCAGCTGCCCTCGCTGGAGCGAGGGGAGGCTCCGTAAAAAAAAGCCAAATTGAACGGGCTGCTCAAGGAGCCGGAGTCGTCATCTAACCGCACGTCCCGGGTGTTATCCACAATCATGGCCGGGGTCGCGCGGGAGAAGGAGACAGAAACTGACGCCAACGGCTGAACCCAAAGCCAACGCCTTGGCCTCCTCAGACCGAGTGAAACGTCGAGGAGGCGGAGGCGGGCGCGGCGGCTCTTATAGCGATCTGCGAAGTGGAGATGCGGGGGGGGGAGGGAGGGAGGGAGGGAGAGGAAGGCAGGGCCAAGCTCTCTGACCGCCTGAGGGACAAACTGGGCGCGGCTGCGTGGAGAAGCGGCAGTTTCCAGTAAATGTGTTGCGTAGGTTTTGTCAACAGCGGTTGCTTCTCTCGTGACCTGGTAACTTAGGAAACCTGGGACGAGCTTAGGCCGAAGCGGAGTCCCCCGGGCGGCCGAAACGCTTCCGGCGCCACTTAGCCAAGTGCGAGTTTGGTTTTCAGGGACGTTAAATTGGCCGGCCCTTGCCGCGTCTCTCTCAGCTTCTAAATCGGGGGTAGTCAACCTTGGCTCTTTTATGACTCGTGGACTTCAACTCCCAGAATTCCTGAGCCAGCTAAGCTGGCTCAGGAATTCTGGGAGTTGAAGTCCACGAATCATAAAAGAGCCAAGGTTGACTACCCCTGTAAATAAACGAGCGACTTCTTAACTAAGAGTAAAAAAAACAAACACACAGGAGAAAGAGCCGTAACTTTGGACCTTCTGATTGTAACAGCGGACGGAAGAAAACGATCTGTTGGGGCAGATCTGGCTGTTAACCAAAGCGGAACCAGATGAAAACGGGTCCCCCTGTCCCAAAGAGAGGCAACGACTGGTCGTAGTCTTGTTCGGACCGGGAGGAAAGGCACAGCAGTAGACGCCTCGAAATTAGGACTCCTGCTTGAAACACGAGAATTGCTGTAATTCTTTTGTAATGGCTTTTTAGCTTTCTGCCGTAAATTACTAATCAGAAATTCCTGTTTTCCTGTGGGCCTGTTTATGAGCCCCACCTTGCCTGGAATAAGTCTTTGAGTTCCTGTATAATAAATACTAAGCTGCAGTTGATTGAACCTTGGAGGGCAGGTTTCCTATATTTTCAAGCAGTTGCATTGGGACAAAGATCGTGATTCAGTGGGCATGTGCTGGCAAAAGCATGCTTTCAGGCCTTGGTGTTCCTTTGCTTGGGCATGCCTCCCTATTTTCTGGAGTTTTTCTCTAAACTAACTCTGGTACTGGTGTCCAAACCGGGCTTCACAATAAGCCTTATTGAATAAACTGCAGTTCGTGGGTTCTCACCATATACTATGACAATATCAAATGAACCTTGTCACACAGTTCAGCATAGTTTGTTGGTACAGTAGGCAACACAGACAATGTAACTATTAGCTACAGTATACTCTGGCAGTAGTTTTTTAGTGTCCCAGAACCTGGCACGTCTCTTTTTCTTACCTATCGTGTGTGCCCTACAAGGTTATATTTCACTGCAATTTTGCTTTTTAAGTTGCTTTGCCATTATTGTCCTGCTTTGTGTGATTTTACAACACATGTAAAAAAAGGGGGGGGGAGTTAAATCTCAATATGATTTCAGATATCTAGCCAAGTCTTCCAAATACCGACTCTGGTATTTTCATTCTTTTAGAAATTGGATTTGTCCTTCCTGACACAAAGAGTAAGAAATGTGATTTCCATTGCTAAGATAACAATGATGTCCAAAGATATAAGCTCCCAGTGTGCACTCTGATAAATTGGAAAGGCAGCCTATATAATTAGATTTAGGTCATACAATATTTTTAAAAAAATCTATGTACTGCTCAAAAATGAGCCAGAGGGTGAATAGTGCAACCAAGATGGTTCTTCTCCAGAAAGGCAGTGTGATCATTATTTAAATTAGAGCAATGTATTTTATGGCAGAACCCTCTATTGCTGTCCTTGGGATCCTCAGTGGTAATTTTAGAAACTTGTCAGCATGATTTCCTATAATTTTGAAGCAGTAAATAATTCAAAAACAAGTCTAACACTTTATATAAAAAAATCCCAAAACTTAAAGTCCTCCAGACAAACAGGAAAAATCCTGACCCTGTCTATATATGTGAGATACAATTATTAAAAGGTTGCATGTCAACTTTTTAGCAAGTAGATACTCTTCTCAGTAGCTATAATTGTATAGTATTGTGTTGCAGGGAAAGAAAAAGGAGCTACTTTCTATCTAAACCATGCCTTCAGACATAACACCAGGAAAAAAATGCATTTACAAGATTTATAAATGATGTCATGCCAGAGTTTAGGCAGTGTGCAAAATCAAACAGTGATAAAAAAAGCAAGCTATACGCACAGCAGGCAATAAAGATATGGAACTTCCTTTACCTGCTTAATCACCAAAAGTTTTCCAGAAAAACAAGATTTTAACTATAGTGTTCTTTAAAGCAGTGTTTCTCAACTTAACTTTAAGATACATATACTTCAACACCCAGAATTCCCTACCTATGTTGGCTGGGAATTTTGGGTTTTGAAATCCACACATCAAAATTGCCAAGGTTGAGAAACACTCTTCTAAAAGGCCATACATAAGGATAAAGGTGGGTCTTTTCAGGAGCAGGCTTTTCCAAAGTAACACAAGACCAAGCTGATGAAGTGAGCCAAGAGTTCCCACCAATGGAAAACAGCAATCTTACTATGCAACAAACACGTGTTTCAGTTTCAGGCAGACCACTGAGAATAGAAATTATCCAGCTTTCAAAATCAAGTAATGTTATGAGGTAAATTCAGAGCCAGTTTCAATGTAATGCACAGACCTCTTATGAAAATGGCTTGAGATTAGCAAAAATAATGGCTGATTTGGAAATCTGAAGCCAGAATAAAATAAAATAAAAATGTACTTTTAAATGCCACTATTAGCGTTACAGTCTAAATTGCTCAATGCACCTGATAAAAATCACTAGCAGATTCGTATTTACTTCACAATTCATATGTATGGAACCAGCTCTTGGCTTTCAGTTATCTTTTCCATCATTCCATTTGATTATAAGCTTGAAATATCAAAACTTGAACATGTAAGAAAAATAAATACTTAATTTATAACATAATTTGTGAATTTAGGTTACTTTTGTACAGGTTTCAAAAGCTTTGTATATGATAGTGTATTTAATGGCATGGCCCTAAACAATATAAAACTGGGTATTTAAGACCCTAAAAGTAAATGCAAATTATTCAAACAATTGATCTCAAAAAACAAATGTCTTAAACTAAGAAAATCCAATCCACCAAGAAAAAAGCAGAAAATTCTGATCCATTTCATATGCATTATGTGACTTCCTGGTAACCATTATCAGAGCTAATTCTTCCCCTGCCCAGTCCCAAACTATTAACTTCAAACTTATTCAAGCTTATTATGAGTTATTTAAAAAATAATAACTTTGTGTTGTGCACCAATTGTGCTCCTTTTTGGATCAGAAGACCCTGCGCTCAGTCATTCAAGCCCTGATCATGCCACACCTGGACTATTGCTATGTGCTCTACATAGGGTTACTCTTGAAGAGCATTCAGAAACTACAACTGTGCAGAGTGTGATGGGGCGGGCAGTCCTTGGGGCCCCTAGAGTGGCCCATGTTACACTGTTGTCCTGCAAGTTGCACTGTCTGCTAGTTTGCTTCCAGGTGCAATTCAAGGTATTGGTTATCACCCTTAAAGCTCTGCATGGCATGGGTCCAGGTTACCTGAAGAATCCTCTCACCCCAATGGGACTGGCCTGCCCCACTCGTGCCAGCAGAAGAGGCATGTTGCAGACCCCATCATTCAAGGAATTCCAGCTGGCAGGGTCCAGGAGGACAGCCTTCTATGCCATGGCTCTTGCCCTTTGGAACATCCCCCTCCCAGGGTGAGATCTGCTTCCATCCCTCTGACCTTCTGTAAGGGTCTGAAGTCCTGGCTCTGCCAGCTGGCTTGGGGCCCCAACGAAGGAGTATCATACTGGATGTGGTTGATGGAGCAATAGAAGATCTCACTCCTCCCCCCACGTATTCTGCTCCCTCCGACCCCATCTTTTAATTATAATTTATATTTTATTGTTATTAGAAATATTTATTTTTTATGGTTTTACTGCTTTTTATGTAAGCCACCCAGGGTTCCCTTGGGGCAAGATGGACAGCAAACAAATTAATAAATCGGAATAATAGGATTTTTAGTATTAAGAGTTAAATCGCTAAATACTTGTTTATCATAATTATAGTCACAATTTTTATTTAACTGTAGCTACTTTGGCATTCATTTTTATAAAGTATGAACATACTTTATAAAAGCTTACTGTAGGTCTCCCTTTTGGTTTAATTTAAAAAAGGACTTAATCCATTCAACAGAGTATATCATGGCATATCATCAGGTTATATAGCTTTATTCAGCAACTTTAGGCAAGGTACAGTTTATTTGTCTTAATACTTTATTCCTTATCTCCATATTTTATGATTCAGGGTACCAGCCAGTATTGTTGTGTGGATAGCTAAAATGATGTACAGAAAATACTTGGAACAATCTGGAAAAATTGTTATGTATTAAAGCGGGGGTCCCCAACCCCTGGTCTGTGGACCAGTACTGGGCCACAGTATGCCAGCAACTGGGCCACGTAAACAAGCAAAGCCCCATCTATGGGATGCAGGCAGCACACAAAACCACACCCCTTCCGGTCCGCAGAAAAACCTCTCTCCACATAACCAGTCCCTGATGCCCAAAAGGTTGTGGACCTCTGTATTAAAGAATAGTTCCATGCTGAAAACATTTCCCCTGCATTGTTTTCATGACGCTTTAAAATTTGAGGGGTGGAAATTTTTTCTTCTAGAATCTCATTGGTTTTCCAGGCTGCCTGACTTTTAAAAAATGGGAAAATTTCCCATATCTTATTTTCCTTTACACTTTAATTAAATTATGGGAAGCAGATGTATCTACAAGGACAGGAAAAATTCTGTTATTTAATTACAGATGGTGTATGCAACCATGCAATCAACGGCCCCCTGATTTGTGTGCATGTGATGTATGTGACATATTTTAAAAAGGGCAGGAACTTTGATCACTTGGTCATATCTGCTATTTGATTTTTTTGTGTGTGTAATGAGGGCTTCCTAGGTTAACAGACTTTTAACAGTTCTTCATCCAGC